CCCAGTCGCCCACTGCTCGCCGATGTGGGGCCTGATGACTGGCCCACCCCACACAGGGACGCGCAGGTTCGCTATCAGAGGCCGACCGTCGATCTATCGGCGAAGTATCGCCAGTTCCAGCTCGATGGCCACCCCCCTCCCTGAGCCAGTCCCCCCCCCCCTACCGTTGCCCCCCAGCGTAGATCACAGCAGGTCAGAATAGAGTAGAGCAGAGCAGAGTAGAATAGAGTAGAGTTCTGTAGAGTGGGACTTCGTGGGATACGACGTAATGGAGTGGCATAGTGTAGAGCTGTGTGTTCTTGGCATTGTGTCCTTGCAGGTCAGAGCGTTCAGCCATTCTGGAGCCGATCCTGGTTAAGATTCCGTCAGTGGTGGGTGTGCGACTAGGTTGTGGGAAAAATCGTGTTAAACCATGCAGATACAGACCGCTACAAGGGCGGCATCACGTTGTTAGTGTTGCTTGTGCAAGTTTGCATTCGTCGACGTCATAGCTCCCGTGTGAGTTTGTGGGCAGTGCATCCTGCGCCCCACGCGTGTCCTAAACTCGGCAGTTCCCGCAGCGCCGAGGTATCACGTGCAGTTCAAGCGGGATGGCGCAATCCTCTATAAACCGAAGGGCTCCTTGCGCAGCCGCACAGAGAGGTCATCTAGTTACTGCAGGACGTCTGCCCCGTCGTGTCGACTCCAGCGAGCCAGGCTGGCGTGCTGGCTGGTGGCCCGGGATAGTCGTGGAGCAGCATTCGCCAGGGTTCACCTCTGATGATGTCAGTTTCGCAAGAAGACGACTACGATCATAAGCACTAAGCAACTAAGCAAGACCATCCGCAATCCAGCGCAAGAGCCCATCTCGATGATGGCTTGGCTGTCCCACCAGGACCTCGGGTTTGGATTACAGGGCTTGCGCTTGGTCAGACAGTAGAGAGCGGATGAGTCCGCAGCGGGTCGCAGGATGCGGTGCAGGTCCGCAGAGGGCACACGGGCGTTGCAAACAGTTTCCGCCTGTCCCACCTGCAGGCTGAACAAACAACCACCATCCGTAGCCAATTTGGCTCAATGGTAGAGTGCCTGTTCACCTCGTAGCATCGTCGCCGCTTCCTGCATTGTTGTTCACCTTCCCGTGTATATTCGTACGCAGGTTCGTGCGCCTCCTTCGTTTCCTCCTGGCAGCCTTCTTCACAATCGTTTACATTACACTTCTCACGTCTGTTTGTGAAGCATGGCCTCGACTCTGCCTATAGTGAATCGTTGGAACGATTTCGATCCTCTGGAGGAGGTAGTTTTGGGCATCGCGGATGATGCTTGTTTCCCGCCTTTGGAGCCGGCTTGTCGGAGCGAGTTCAATGACAAGTACACCAAGTATGGCTCCAATATCTAATCGCCTGTGGCCCGTCCAGCCGCCATGCTTGGATCGTGGACTGGAGGCCGCTTGCGGTCTCTTGGGCCCCTTTTGGAGGCTTGGGGGCTGTCGTTGGGCGATCTTGGGGGCATCTTGGGCCGTCTTGGCCGCTCTTGGAGCCGACAGGGCGAGAACGCTTGCAGCACTTGGAAACTGAATGGTTCTTGGACGATTTGAGCTTTTTACGCTGGCCTCAGGGCTTCGGGACGACCCAACGACCCCTTAGAGATCTTTAAACGAGGCCTCTTTGGGACAGTCATTGTGAGATCCGCCCGGGGTCCAAACACGCGTTCAGGGCCTCGGGGAAAGTCAGGCGCCAAGCTCCTGGAGCGCCCGCAACCGCCCAGGGCTACCCGTAAGTTGGAGGCCCAGGGCTTGTAGAGAGCATGTATGGCATTGCCTCCTAAGTCGCTTCTCTGGCTGCCAACTGCGCAAGTGTTAGAGGCGTCCAACTGCGCAACTGACGCCAGGTTCGGGAACCGCTGACGGTTACGAGAGACCTAATGACACGTCGCTTAATACCTACGGCACGGTGGCGGATGAGCCATAACTTCAGCGACTGGATGCCCTGGCCTACGGGTCCCAAGCTCAAAAAGTTCGTCGACAACGCCAACAAGGAGTTGGAGGGATTTAGAGAGATTTTCGAGGGAGAAGGTGTCAAAGTCAGACGCCCAGATCGTAACTTGTGCAATTTCAACGTGCAAACCAAGACGCCAGATTTCGAGTCTCCCAACCAATACTGCGTCGTGTGTCCACGAGATGTGATCATGACTGTTGGCAACGAGGTTGTGGAGGCGCCAATGTGCAAGCGTTCCCGTTTCTTTGAGTACCGGCCATTCCGAACGTTGATCCGCGAGTATTTCGACGCTGATCCCCAGATGATCTGGACTGCCGCGCCAAAGCCCATGATGGGAGACGACGCCTACAACCCGGCTTTCTGGGACTGGTCCGTGGAGGAACGCATTGAAAGGATGCACAAGTACGAGTATTGTCTCTCCGAGAAGGAGGTCATGTTTGACGCCGCCGATTGCCTGCTGATCGGGAACATGATGTTCGTCCAGCAGTCCATGGTCACCAACCTAGCTGGGATCAGGTGGCTCAAGAGACACTTCGCGCCCAAGGGAATCACTGTTCATACAATGCACTTCCCGTACGATCTGTACCCTTCCCACATGGATTGCACGTTTGTGGCGATCAACGGGCACACGGTGTTGACAAATCCAGACCGTCCCGCAGTAGATGAAGAAGTCAAGATATTCAAGCAGAACGATTGGCGATTGGTTGACGTCCCATTTTACACCACGGAAAAAGAGCATCCGATCATGTGTCAGAGCAGCCGCTGGCTGTCGATGAACGTATTTTCCATCTCCCCCAGCAAGGTCGTGGTGGAGGAGACGGAGAAACCCTTGATCAGCTTTTTGGAAAAAGAGCTCGGGATGGATGTGATCCCTATTCCGTTCAGGCACGTTTTCGAGTTCGGGGGAAGCTTGCACTGCAGCACCTGGGACGTCCGCAGGAATGGAGGTGTCAGAGACTTCTTCCCCAACCGCGAGGACTACGAAGACGTGGGGCTCACCAGACTGACGGACCTGCCGTGAGCTTTCACCCGGCAGCGTGGCTGCAGGCTAGTATTAGCCAAAGGCGTTGATTTGGTGAAGTTTTAAGCTTTATTCAGGGCTGGCCTGATGGAAAGTACAGTCTGGAACGGAAAAACTAGGGGGCCACATGCGAACCCTACCCCTACCCCCCACGATTTCTGAGGGGGAGGGTGGGGTTCACTTCGCCACCCTCCCCCTCAGAAATCGCGGGGGGCAGGGGTAGGGTTCGCATGTGGCCCCCTAAAAACGCTCGTGATCGGCCGCGCGCCCAGGCGAGAAGGCAGCGGGAGCGGGCCTCCTCGCAGGGCTCAGAAGGCCCCGGGCCTCCCCAGAAGCGCCCTGAGCCTGCTGCAAAGCGAGATGGCTTCTGAGAAGGCCCCATCGAGGAGGAAGAGGAGGAGGAGGAGGAGGAGGAGGAGGAGGATGAGGAGAGGGGAGGGGGAGGGGAGGGGGAGGAGGAGGGGAGGAGGAGGAGAGGAGGAGGAGGAGGAGGAGAAGGAGGACGCCAGGAGACTGTCGGATCAGAGCTCGGGCATCCAGTGGCCGATCGGGACGATCCAGGCGCCCCCAGAACACTCCCGGCGAGGCGCAGCCTTAGGAACGCTTCCCGAGGCTGGAGAGCCGCCGAGAGCCAACAACAACGCGCGAAAGCCGGTGGCCTCGAGCCCGAAACTCCAAATCTCCTCCTCCTCCTCCTCCTCCACCTCCTCCTCCTCCTCCTCCTCCCTCCTCCTCCTCCTCCTCCTCCTCCTCCTCCTCCTCCTCCTCCCCCCCTCGGCACGCCTCCGACATGAGGCTCGCTGTTTAGCCCACTCACTTGCCCAGACTGTCCAACAGGGTCGAGTGTAGATCCAAGATTGCCTCGGAGGTCCCCCAGGGGAACGCGAGCCAGCCCCTCCAGAGATGTGTCCTGAGGCCAGGGGCGCCCAAGCAGGGCCAAACGACTCCAGGCAGCCCCCCCCGACGACCCAACAGGCCTCGGACACGGGCCCCGGGGCGTTCCAGGACGGCTCAGGATGGTTGCAAGACAGCCCTGGGTGCCTCCAAGACGCCTCAGAGCGCTCCCAGAGGGTCGCCAAGGCCTCCGAGAGGGAAGCATCATTGATGATCCTTCGGGTTTCTCATACCGGGTTTCTCATACGCTGTCGGCATGCTGATCTCGAGCCCCTTGCTTGCCACGACGGGCCAAGAGGGCCCCAGTGCTGCTCCGAGATGGCCCCAGAGGGTTGCCACGACGCGCCGAAGTGGCCTCACAACGCAAAAGCGAGCCAACGACGCGCACCACGACGACGACGACGACGATGACGACGACGACGAAACGAACGAAGGAACGACCGAACAAATTTCTGATAACGACGCACAACCGATGGCTAAGTTGCATGGCGGCCGGGTGGTTTACCTGGTTTGACCATTTTGACGACATCTCGGGGGGTTCAGACAATCTTGACCGTGTGGGGGCATCTTGGGGCAACTCGAGGTCTAGATTGACGACCTTGGGGGATCTTCGGTGTCGTACTTCTGCGATGCAGTCCAGAGGCGCAGGGATTTTGGTGCAAGTCGTCATCGCCCTCCTCCTCCTCCTCCTCCTCCTCCTCATCCTCCTCCTCCTGCACTCCTTTTCCTGCTCCTTCCTTCTCATGAGGGGTATGTAACGCCATCTGGGCTTTGCAGTATACAGCACGGATGTGTTCTGCAAGAGTCTCCTACGCACCGTGTACGCAACGCAGTTTTCAACGCACACTGGCTTGTCAAGCGTGGAGGAATGCGCTGCGGGGTACAGAAATGAGCCCAACTGTGAGTTCTCTTTGGGAATTCTTGCTGCATCTGCACTGGCACTGCGCCACATTTGACGAGCTCTCTTCGCCACACAACTATTCGGACGAGGGGGGCGACCCACCACAGTTGTCGTGTATGTGAAACGACTGCGGCCCCGGCGACGAGGGCGACTCTACACGGGGCGAGCGGTGTTGCCGTCACGCGGGGCCCCCATTCAGGGTCAGCGTTTCGGATTGAAACAGCCGGTCAAGCGTACTCTTACAACCTTTTTTACCCATATCCTAAGATGGGGTTCTTGTTATTACTTGGACGCCTCCTACTCCTCCTCCTTCTTCCTCCTCCTCTTTTCTCGTCCCCTCCTGTCGGACATACTCAGACTTGCTCATACACAGACTTACTCATACTCAGACTTACTCATACTCAGACCTACTCATATTCAGACTTACTCACACTCAGACATACTCATATACAGACTTACTCATACACAGACTTACTCATACACAGTATTAGTCATACCCAGACGTACACATACACAGACTTACTCATACACAGACTTACTCATACTCAGCACCCCTAAGGGGAGCCGCCAGGGGTGGTTGCACGGGCTCGTTCGCGGCCATTTTGTGGGGATGTCTCAGGCGGTTTGCCTGTTTCTGTGCCCAACATCCTTCGCTTTCGGAGCAGATTTGGAGGATGTCTCGAGCGAGGCGCTCATTTCAGCACCCCTAAGGGGAGCCGCCAGGGGTGGTTGCACGGGCTCGTTCGCGGCCATTTTGTGGGGATGTCTCAGGCGGTTTGCCTGTTTCTGTGCCCAACATCCTTCGCTTTCGGAGCAGATTTGGAGGATGTCTCGAGCGAGGCGCTCATTTCAGCACCCCTAAGGGGAGCCGCCAGGGGTGGTTGCACGGGCTCGTTCGCGGCCATTTTGTGGGGATGTCTCAGGCGGTTTGCCTGTTTCTGTGCCCAACATCCTTCGCTTTCGGAGCAGATTTGGAGGATGTCTCGAGCGAGGCGCTCATTTCAGCACCCCTAAGGGGAGCCGCCAGGGGTGGTTGCACGGGCTCGTTCGCGGCCATTTTGTGGGGATGTCTCAGGCGGTTTGCCTGTTTCTGTGCCCAACATCCTTCGCTTTCGGAGCAGATTTGGAGGATGTCTCGAGCGAGGCGCTCATTTTCACCCCCCAGGTGGGCCAGATTTTGAGGATGTCTCGATCGGTTTGCTAGTTTTGGTGGCCAGGCTCGTGGGCGCAGATTCTTCTCAGGATGCCACAGGAGGCTCCAACAGGCTCCAGGAGGCTCCAGGAGACCACATGAGGTCCCAGGAGGCATCAGGAGGCCACAGAAAGACTCAAGAGGCCACAGGATGTCCCAAGAGGCGCCAGGAGGCCCCAGGAAGCTCCAGAAGGCCTCAGGAAACCACAGGAGACCCCAGGAGACAACAGGAAGCGCCAGGAGGCCTCGGAAGGCAACAGGAGGCCCCGAGAGGCTCCAGGAGCAGGAGGCCTCAGAAGGCAACAGGAGTGGCTCCAATCCCATGTGTTTTACGTATGCTCCTATCGATTGGGCCTCACCTGGAGCACGATTCTTTGATGTTCTACGTATGTTTCTATAGATGGTCCTTCTCCTGTGTACACAATCCTAAATGTTTTACTCATGTTCCTATGTATTGGGCCTCTCCTGGGGCACGAGTCCTTGGTGTTTTACGCGTGTTCCTATAGATTGCCCTTCTCCTGTGGCTCTAATCCGCAATGTTTTATGTACGTCTGTTGCTATAGATTGCGCCTCCCCTGGGGCACGAAACCTTCCTAGGAGGTCCCAGGAGGTCCCAAGAGACTCCTGGAGACCCCAGGAAGCCCCAGTAGGTTTCAGGAGGCCCCAGGAGGCCCCAGGCTCATGCACAGAGACGCGCTCGTACTACTGAGGCTCATTCACACTCCAATTCATTCGCAGTTAGATGGATGTCCAGACCGTCACAACTGAAGCCCGTTAATATTCGAAAGCTCTTGCGCCTAGACATTCACGGCGGACAGGTCCATGCGAGTAGATGCACATATGGGGAGCTCCACGCAGTGAATAATTATGGAGGGCGCAGGGGTAGTTCGCGTGGGCTTGGGCCCCCAGGGCTGGGTCTTGACTCCCTCACGGGCCTCCTGGTCCTCCCCCCGGCCGCTCAAACCAGCGTCGGGGAGTTCCTTGGGGACCGCCAGGAAGGCCGAAACGGGCACGAAAAAATGATGACGAGAGTAGCACAACAGGTCCCAGGAGCAGCTCGAGCATTTCCAAGACGGCCCCCCAGACGGGCCCAGGGGCTCCGAAGAGGACCCGTCAGAGGCCCCCGAGAGGCAAAGTCAGTTTTTTTGATTGCTGTATGATGTTCGGATTCTTGTCTTTCTGGTCCTCAGGGCGCCCAGGACGGGCCATGAAGCCTCTAACATGGGCCTCGATATGATCCGAAGCGGCCTCAAGAGGACCACAAGAAGAGCTGACACCGACCCAAGAGTGGCCCAAGATGGCCCAAGAGAGCCCCAATTCCGTAGCCATTTGGCTCAAGCTGTTTGGGCTCAAGAGCTTTTCTGGCTCCAGCTCCGAGCCGCTCGTGCGCGCGACAGGCAATGGCGTCCGGGCTCGCGCGAACCCTCGCGCTCGGGCTGCTGTGCGCCCCCCTGGCCCAGGGCACCCCGTGGGAGTGGGCGGGCACGTTCGACCTTGCCGCCGGGCACTACACGTGGTCCTGCACAAAGTCGGAGTCCGGAAGCTACGCGGACGGCTCCGCGAAGATCCTCGTGTATCCGCTGGTTGACTCGTCTGGCGAGTCGCTCGAAGCCGTCGAGTCGGCCGCCGAGACGGCGTGGGCGACCTCGACCGCGAAGTCTTCCTATGAGGAGTTGGAGACGGGCAGTACGTACACGCTGAGCTTTGATACTGAGACTTGGACCACCCACTTCATCCTTCACGTTGACACAGCTGGTGCTTACGCCGTCTTCTTCGAGCACAGTCCCTACGAGTTCGAGAATGGCTTCCACTATCTAAGATCGGAGGGCGGCGAGGACGTAGAACCCGCTTTCGAGGAAGAGGGCGGCAATCACTCGCACGAAGAGCATGAGGAGCACTGCCCGTGGGACTTGGAGTGGGAGTGGTCGGCTGTCTTCCCTGTGGAGCAAGGTTGGTACGACTGGAACGCGGAGAAGGTCGACGGGGACTACGCCGACGCGCACATGAAGATTGTGATCATGACGACTACCGAGACGGACCTCCACGACCTGGAGACACAGGCCGACGCTTATTGGGACGCGATCACAGATTCCGACGAGGTGGACGTTGGGGAGACGATCCCGCTCGATGTCGGCACCACGCTGCACTTCAGCCAGGAGACGTGGGCGTCGCATTTCAAGATCTACGTGCCGGCGAACACGTCCCACATCGCGGTGTTCGCGGAGCACTTCCCGACAGAGTTCGAAGGCGCGTACCATTACCTCCGGTCCGCCAACGGCGAGGACATCGAGCCCGTGGCCGAGGAGTCGGGCGCGGGATGCGAAAGCGCCAGCGAGAGCACCAGCACCGACGATTCCAAGATCTGGGGCGAGGTGATCCTGGCCGCGTTCGTCACCGTGCTCCCAACACTGATCGGCATCGTGCTCGTCGTGATGACGTGCATGCCCAAGCTGAAGGCCATGATGGCGGGCGAGGGCGGCATCGTTGCGGTCATTCATTCGTTTGCCTCCGGCGTGATCTTCGCGGCCGCTGTGTTCCTTCTGCTTCCGGAGGGCCTGTACCTCGCCACCGTCGGGAAGACAGAGGCGGGCGGATCCGGGATGTGGGGCGCTTCCGTCTTGGCAGGGTGGTTCTTCGCGACTGTGGTCAAGCAGTTGTGCCAGCTCGTGATTGGAGAAAGGTTGAACCTCACCGTGCCGGCCGGGAACGGGGAGGTGGAGGAGGAGCCAGGGAAGAGCAAGTCCACCAGCTGGCTGGTCTCCTTCCCCATCCTGTTCGGAGACATGTTCCACAACTTCTCGGACGGTCTGGTCCTCGGGGTCGCCTTCAAGACGTGTGGCGCGTCCTTCGGGTGGAAGATCGCGTGGGTCACGGTCCTGCACGAGGTTCCTCAGGAGCTCTCCGACTTCGCCGTCCTGATCACGAAGGGGAGGATGGCCTGGCCCATGGCCCTCACCCTCAACTTCCTCTCTGGGCTGTCGACGGTCATCGGGGCCATCGTCACCTACTCCAGCGACGTCAGCTCCGGGGTGGAGGGCGCCATCCTCGCCGCGGGCGCCGGAGTCTACCTGTACGTGGCCGCGACGGAGCTCGGCCCCGCGGTGGGGGACCTCATGGGAGACCGCGCCCTCGGCTCCCTCGCGCGGCTCCTCAGCTTCGCGCTGGGCGCCACGCTCATCGGCCTGGTGCTCCTGGACCACGAGCACTGCTACGCCTCGGCCGCGGCGGGCGCGGAGGGCGAGGCGGCGTCGGACGGCCACGCCCACGGCCACTGAGCCACCGGTGCCAGCCGGGGCACGGCGGCGCCTCCGCACGAGGGAGTGGCGAGGACGGCCGAGTAGCGCCGGGGGGACGGGGAACAGAGCCCGCCCCCGGAAGTCTTTTTCATGTTTGTATTGCGAGGGCAAGCACCAATATGACACCGTCAACAACGCCGCCAGTGCGCCGTGGCGCTGGTGTTGTCTGTCTGTTTTTGTTCTGGTTTCGCGCTCCGGCGCACTGAGCGGCTGATGCTCGGGCGATCTCCGAGCGACGCTGCGCACGAGGGGTGAGTAGTTAGAGTGGTGATGACCGCTAGCCTTTCTGCTGACGCATGAAGATGCCAGCATCGCGATGCATACTGCAGAGGTTGAGTGTTTTTTGACAGTGGATGCTTATCTTGTCATAGGCTTTGCTGCACATCAGAGGAGGTGCGTTGATTCCCGATGTCATGCCTGCCGTCGGTGCATGTGCGCACATAGACGCCTCCATCACAGGGATTGTTAGCCAGCCTTGCAAACTTTACTTACGTGCGCAATGCCCGCGCACAGTTTTGTTGGTGCTGTGCCGCTTGGCTCTTGACCAGTGGGCATCACATTGCTGACCAGAGAGCGGAACACAGACAAAACAAAACAACAATGGCCCGAGAGAGCCCCAAGAGAGCCGCAGGACGCTCCAGGTTGGTTGTAGAAGGGGCTCAAGCGGCCAGAGGGGGCCCAGAGATGGCCCAAGATAGGCCCAAAACGGCACCTCAGAGACCGCCGAGACGGCCCAGAGAGGAATCGGCCCCAAGGGCCCAGATTCTGGCATTGCTCCTCCTCCTCCTCCTCCTGCTCCTGATCCTCCCTCCTCCTGCTCCTCCTGCTCCTCCTCCTCCTCCTCCTCCTCCTCCTCCTCCTCCTCCTCCTCCTCCTCCTTCTCCTCCTTTTTTTCTTCCTCCTCCTCCTCATCCCCCTCCTCCTCCGCATCTTCCTCGGTCTTGCCCTCGCCCTCGATGAATTCTCATCGCCTCTCCCTCTTCCTCCTCCTTGCTCTCGCCATCGATGCATTCCCATCGCCTCCGACCTCCCCCGTCCATCCGCAGCACCGCCATTCCCATGCAAGTTGCTTGCCATGCGTGCCCAGCCCCGTTCCCCTCCCCCTCCCCCTTCTGTCCCCGTCCACGCCCCCGCCTTCCCCTGCTCCCGCTCGTACCCCTGATGGTCGGCTGGTCGGTTTTTGTTCCTCCTGCTGCTGGCTGCTGCTGCTGCTGCTGCTGCTGCTGCTGCTGCTGCTGCTGCTCCTGCTCCTGCTCCTGCTCCTGCTCCTGCTCCTGCTCCTGCTCCTGCTGGTGCTGCTGCTGCTGCTGCTGCTGCCGCTGCTGCGCCTCATCCGCTTGATGTTCTAGCGTTCCCGTCAGATGGCGTCCATGATCCTCAGCCCCCTTCTTGTCGTCGTCGCCCTCCTCCTTCTCCTCCTCCTCCTCCTCCTCCTCCTTCTCCTCTTCCTCCCTCGGTGGCCTCTCTGCCTCAAGCCCAGGGGCGGCCTGGCGTTGTGGGTCAGGCCCGGACTCAATGTGCTGCTGAGCCCGGGGGCGGTCGGAAAGCGAAGATGGCCGCCGACCAGGCGGGCGATGGTAAAGATATCCCTCCACATCCCCAGCCCTCTCCTCTTTCCTCCCGCCTCCTCCTCCTCCTCCTACTCCTCCTCCTCCTCCTCCTCCCTCCTCCTCCTCCTCCTCCTCCTCTCTCCTCCTCCTCCTCCTCCGCCTCCGCCTCCCCCTCCGCCTCCGCCTCCTCCTCCTCCGCTTCCTCCTCCCCTTCCGTCCTTTCCCTCCTCCTGTTGCTGCTGCTGCTGCTGCTGCTGATGCTGCTGCTGCTGCTCCTCCTCCTCCTCCTCCTCCTCCTCCTCCTCCTCCTCCTCCTCCTCCTGCCACTGGGCCGCTTGGGTCGCGCGCAGCGCGGCGGCGCGGCCCTCCTGGTCAGCGCCCAGCGCCGTCCGCAGCTGGCGGGCCGTGGCGCGGTGCAGCGCCACCGCCAGCTCGCGGCCCCTGCGGCCGATGAGGGCGCCGGCAGCTGCCGCCGCGGCCTCGTCGCTCCGCAGGGCCGCCTCCCCCCGGGCCAGCTGGCAAGGGGCTGGAGGGCTGCCAGCCCGTAGCGGCCGCCAGTTTCCAGCGCGAGGGGGACCTTGCCCCACGGGGACTGGCCCGAAGGGTGGCGGCGGCGCTTGTCAGCCTCGAGGGGGCGTCAACCGCGCCGCCGCGTCCCGCGGCAGCAGCCAAGCCGTCCGCGCCATCCGGCACGCAGAAGCGAACCGTGACATCCAGGTCCAGGCGGGGGCAGTCCGCCCGCTGCACCTCGACGTCGAGGATCGCCTCTCGCGCTTCGAGCGCAGGGCGACCCCGCAGGTGGCGCAGGGGCCCGCCTGGCGGGCCGCCACCGCCACCCCCCCGACAGCGCCGCAGCCGGGCAGGTCCAGCGCCAGCGGTCTCAAGCTGGGACGTGGGAGCCCGCACTCCGCGTGGATGCGTGCACAGGCGCCCTCCAGGTCGCAGCTGCGCGCCCTGGTCCCGCCCCCGCGGGGGCAGCGCCAGGCGTGGCGCGCCGCGTCGCCCAGCGGCTCCCCGCTCAGCGTTGGCCGGCCCTCCCGCGCGTCCGCGCGACGTTGCAGCAGGTCGCGCCAGGCGGGCCGCGGCCTGGCCCAGGAGCGTCCGCGCGGTGCTGTAGGTGTCCGCGTAGTCGAGCCGCTGCGCGTCCGCGCCTGGCGAGGCGGTCTGCCGTGCGCCCGCGCGCGGCCCGCCGCAGGAGCGAAAGAGCGCTCTCTCCTTTGGCCCCACGGGCAGGAGGCGTGTCGTTTGCGCGGCCCGCAGGTGCGGCGAGGCCGTCGCCGGGAGGGCCGTGGTTCCGCAGCTCGCTCCGCCGCGCAGTCGGCCGCGCCGAGGTCGACCCGGCGCGCGCCGCTCTCGCCGGTCAGCCCTCCAGGCAGAGGCCCGCGCGGGGGCACCCTCGCGAGGGTCAGGCCCTGCGCGCGCCACTGCTCCTCCAGCCGGGGGGGGGGGGCAGGCGGCCCCGGCCGACCGGGCCTGCGTCCTCCGCGGCTCTGGCTCCAGGCCCAGGCCGCCGAGCGCCCCCTGCGCCGCCGCCTGCACCTCGCCCGCGAGCGCCGAGGGGGCCAGCACGGCGACATCATATCCAGGCAAGCGAGGGCGTGCACGTCGTCTGTGCCCAGCCCCTGGCGCTGGGCCGCCCCCCCCCCTCGCAGAGCGCCTGCCAGGGCCGTCAGGCGGGGTCGCAGCCCACAGGGAGGAAGCAGCGGCGCCCGCGGGCCGCCATGGCCAACCCCGCTGGTGGAGGACAGGCGGTGGCAGACCCCCGCCGCGTCCCAGAAGCAGTGCCGGGACTCCCGGCGGCTAAAGAGAGGGTGGCGCAGGGGAGCAGTTATGGCGCCGCCTCCCCCGGGCCGCAGAGGCAGGCCTCCCGGTGGGCGGAGCAGTAGGCGTTCTTAGCGTCCAGTGCAGCTAACACCAAGTCGAGGCTTTCCTCCGCCAGAGCTCGAGCGGCGTGAGCCATCAGCTCCCCCGGGCCGCAGAGGCAGGCCCCCAGGTGGGCGGACCAGTAGGCGTCATTAGCGTCCAGCGCAGCTAACCCCAAATCGAGGCTTTCCTCCGCCAAAGCTCGAGCGGCGTGAGCCAGCAGCTCGTTGCCCGCAGCAATGCCCACAGCAAACTGCTGCCTCCCCAGTAGGGGGAGGAGGGGAGGAATAGGAGGGGGAGGAGGAGGAAGAGGAAGAGGAGTAGGATGATTATGATGATGATGCTGATGCTGATGCTGATGCTGATGCTGATGATGCTGATGCTGATGCTGATGATGATGATGATGATGATGATGATGCTGATGCTGATGCTGATGCTGCTGCTGATGGTGATGGCGATGGTGATGATGATGATGATGATGATGATTATGATGATGATGATGATGATGATGATGATGATGATGATGATGATGACGACGATGATGATGATGATGATGATGATGATGATGATGACGGTGATGATGATGATGATGATGATGATGATGATGATGATGATGATGATGCTGATGATGATGATGATGGTGATGGTGATGGTGATGGTGATGATGATGATGCAGATGATGACGATGATGATAATGATGATGACGATGATGATGATGATGACGATGATGATGATGATGATGATGCTGGTGCTGCTGCTGATGCTGATGCTGGTGCTGATGCTGCTGATGCTGCTGATGATGATGACGATGCTGATGCTGGTGCTGGTGCTGATGCTGATGCTGGTGCTGATGCTGATGCTGATGCTGATGATGGTGATAATGCTGATGCCGCTGCTGATGATGGTGATGGTGATGGTGATGGTGATGATGATGATGATGATGATGATGATGATGATGATGACGATGATGATTGATCATGACGATGATGATGATGATGATGATGATGATGATGATGCTGATGATGATGATGATGACGATGATGATGATGATGATGACGATGATGATGATGATGATGATGACGATGATGATGATGATGACGATGATGATGATGATGATGATGATGATGATGATGATGATGATGATGATGGTGCTGCTGCTGGTGCTGGTGCTGATGCTGCTGATGCTGCTGATGCTGCTGATGCTGCTGCTGATGATGCTGATGCTGATGCTGATGCTGATGCCGATGCCGATGCTGATGCTGCAGCGCCTCGGCCAGGTCCGCCTGCCGGGGGGTCACCAGCGCCGGGCCCACGAGTCGCGCTGCCTGGCGCCGACAGGCACGCCGGCCCCACGCCGACCTCTGGCGCATTCCGAGGCGGGAATTCGTACATGACCACCGCCTGGAGGATCGATTTTCGGGGACCTCGCAGGCGGTGGATATGGGTACTTTTAGGCCCCCGGGGGCCAAGATATATCCATATCCACCGCCCGCTGGGGCACCAGGACGTCGTTTCCCGGGCGGTGGATATGGATAAATCCCCGCCTCGCACGCATGACCTGGAATGCGATCGAAGATTCCTACTCGGGGGGAAGGGTCTGTGGAGGTGGTCAAACTGAAGGCGCATTCCAGAGAGTCCGATGCCTGCTCGAGGGGCTCGAGCGGCGCGATTACTTGGGCAACCAGGCGGCCGACCTTCAGACGAAGGAGGGCGCCCAGCCCGTCGGCATTTCACGGCCACCTGGGCTACGAGGACCGCTGAGGTCTCTGCTATGCTCGGGCCAATGGGGTCAATGACCGCTACGATCGGCACGTTCGACTAAACCACGGGCCGCTCCAAGAATGCCGCCCAGTCCCCTGGCACTCGTCCTCAGCGTGCCCTGCTCCCACCTGTGGAGACTCGGCATAGTTTGGAATGGACCCAGGGGTCTTGGCGGTGTCGCAAGTGTGCCAAGCGAGCGCATAGCGGCAAGGCCAAGGCTCTGCTCTCGCGTCAGTTTTGCCGTGGTGGAGTTTCCTCTCATGGGCTCGCGTCGAGCAGGCTCCTCTGCAGGGGCCCCGTCGGCATAAGCTGTCTAGAATCGCCCACTACACGTGGGATGCGGCTCAGTTTTGAGCGCTCACACATGTGGTCTCCTCACGGCGTGCCCCAAGGACCCCTGGGATCACAATGCTAAGACCAGACGGAATAGGTTGTTAGATGGCACGCACCATTCTAAGAACACGCGGTCACCTGGAGAGGTGGTCGCGCCATCTCGGCCTCAGGAGCTCGCATGTTTGCGGCGATCGGTACTCCAGCGGAGCCAGCGGC